TGCCGCACCGAGCTGCCATCCGTGCGGCCTAAACCCCAAGCAGCAGCTGCTTAACAGAAGAAAACAGAAGTCAAATGATAGAGCGGCATGGTTTAGTACATTGAAACAAAACCCAAGGGCAACGGTGTTTGTATAAGGTTCCAAAAATATACAGTCGGGGGGGCATCACTTTACACAATGCTGAGGTTCGTAGTGACCACAGCGACTGAACAGCGCAAGAGATGCTTTTCCAGTTACAAGCTCAAAACAGAAGTGCAAAAGAAATTAAAGCTTCAGCTGAAGCGATTCACCTTTTAGGAGATGGAAAGCTTAGAATATGGTCATCGGTGTCACAGAGAAATCGCCATCCCGCCCATCCAGCCCCAACACATGCACACAAAATAGCTGCAGGTTTTCCGTAACACAGCGCTTTCGTCCGATACTTGTTCAGTGTTTGCCTGTGGATCCAGTGACGCAAAGCAGCCTCTCAGTTCTCCAACTGTGGCTAACAATGCCTGCGATGTACAGGCAGCAGAAGGGGCAGACAGCCTGCGTTCAGACTCGCCTGCAACTGGCTTCACGATACCACCTCTGCATATGAAAGCGGTTGTGCTGAACGCAGATGCTACGTTGTGGCTGGGGAACAAAGAAATTGCTTTATAGGTCTCTCTATTCCCTCCCAGCGTGAAGAACAGTTTCAAGCAAGTGTGTTTAGCAGTCTGGCTCAGCTGTACATGCATCTATTCCTGCAAATGTAGAACACAGCTCCCAGACCCATGACAGGGGCCTTGACAGGCTGGAGAGGTGTTCCTGAGACAACCACGTGAGGTTCAACAGGGCCAAGTGCAAGGTCCTGCACCTGGATCAGGGCAATCCCAAGCACAAGTACAGGCTGGGTGGAGAGTGGATAGAGAGCAGCCCTGAGGAGAAGGACTTGGGGGTATTGGTGGGCGAAAAGCTGGACATGAGCTGGCAGTGTGCGCTGGCAGCCCAGAAAGCCAACTGTATCCTGGGCTGCACCCAAAGAAGTTCAAGGGAGGTGATTATTCCCCTCTACTCTGCTGTCATGAGACCCCACCTGGAGTACTGCATCCAGCTCTGGGGTCCCAACATAAGGGCACAGGCCAGCTGGAGTAAGTTCAGAGAAGGCCATGAAGATGCTCAGAGGGCTGGAGCACCTCTGCTATGGGGACAGGCTGAGAGAGTTGGGCTTGTTCAGCCTGGAGAAGAGAAGGCTCTGGGGAGACCTTATTGCAGCCTTCCAGCACCTGAAGGGGCTGAACAAGGGAGCTGGGGGGGGACCTTTTACAAGGGCCTGTAGTGACAGGACGAGGGGTAACGGGTTTAAATTGAAAGTGGGGAGATTTAGATTAGATCTCAGGAAGAAATTCTTCCCGGAGAGGGTGGTGAGGCACTGGAACAGGTTGCCCAGAGAAGCTGTGGATGCCCCATCCCTGGAAGTGTTCAAGGCCAGGCTGGATGAGTCTTTGAGCAACCTGGTCTAGTGGAAGGTGTCCCTGCCCATGGCAGGGGGGTTGGAACTAGATGGTCTGTAAGGGCCCTTCCAACCCAAACCATTCTGCAATTCTAAGACTAGAACCAGGTGTGTGCATGTGAAGACTGGATAGAAAGCCCTTCCCTGTAAGTTTACAAAAATATATAGCCAATACTGTAGCTTAAGAAGTCAGTTTTACTCATTACAGAGATCCCCAAAAAGTATTAACTACTTTTCAGACATTCCAGACAAGGTCACTTGTAACAAAAACGATCAGGTTCTCTAAAACAAGGTTTTAAAAGCGGATCTTTCCTTCAAGTGAACAGGACATCTGTTTTTAAGCTTAACTTTTTAGTCAGTTAAGACTGGATTTATTTAAGATTTTATGTGAACATATGCATAAACACAAATAAGTTTACTTTAAACACATCTGCACAGAAAAAAAAAAAAATTAACCCTTCATAACAGAGCAGGTCTGGTTAGTATGTATCTATTGCAAATCTTAAAGATTCTGTGCATTAGGCCCACCCATACAGAAAGCAGGGGAAAGTCTCAATGAAAGAAAATTACTGTTCAAGTCTAAGTGGTGTTTTGAAGAGCCAGCAGCCTAAATGGTGTCATTTACTCCCAAGTTATTTTCTGTTTCGAAGGCGTTTGGATTTCCTAGGACAGTCTGTGGATTCAACCGCCTTCCTCCGTTTCCTGGGAGACTGTTCATTTGAGCCAGAACCTGAAGAATTTCCTACCGTGCTCTCCATCACCTCTCGCAGCTTGCGTTCAAGCTCAGCCAATCGGGCATTCTGTTCACCTATGATTTGGGTTTGCTCTAGCAGTTTCTGGTCTTGATCTTGGAGCTGCTTCTGTTGCTCCTGCACTTTGATGCGAAGCTCCGAGATCTCCCGCTTTAGCGCTGTCAAGCCCGTGCCATTTGCTTTTACTTGCTGCTGGAGTTTGGTGACTTCCTGCCTGGAAGGGTTCTGCTTGGAGAACAGCTGCATTGTTGTCAGTGCTGCAGAAGGTCCTGGAACTTGAGAGAAAACTGTCATTAATTCTCTACAGCTCTAAGACAAAGGTAGAAATCTGTGTCCCAGTTTTCCTATTTTGCTTACCCCTACTCCCCAGACACGAATCTGAATACTGGTTGCACGTTATGTGAACATGGAAACAGACTGATAGTGTCTAACGAGAGCGTATGGTATCTCGGAGCACAACTGGTTTAATTTAAGTAAGATTTTCAGTAGTCTGGCAAACAGCTCAGCATTCACTTTCTGCATATAAGCCCCCCTCCTTCTGCGCTATCACAAGTTACAGAGAGATAATTACGTTGTTATCGAGGCTTAGTGTCACAAGTGTTTAGTCAGAACCCCACGATACGGCTATGAATTAGTCACCACGTCTATAAATTAGTACAGAATAGCGCTATTTCGTGTGTCTATTTGAACAGAAGCGTACAATTCTGCTGTCTTAGTTGTAGACAGCTACAGTTCTCAAATTTGGTGGTTTGGGGCTTAACAAGGTATTCTGGTTTAACTTACTTTTTAGAAGAAAGGAATTTATTTTCCATGCTTTTTCAGCGTCACTCCTGCTAAGCACTAGAACCATACTGGAATCTGAGCTTGGGAATGTTGATTTTAATAAAGTTCCTGCAAATTAAGGAGACTAACAGCTATTGTATAATTTCTTTCACTTTTTCTTATCATAAAGGGTATCTATCACTTTTTCTATCATTTTACTCTTTTATACTGTGCAAGAAGACACAACTTTTAAGCTCTACAAAGACAGAACAGTCTGGAACAGCCTAGAGGAGTCATCCTTGTCCTCATTTTTTCCCCTGTAAGATGCTTGCACAGCTACAGTGACGTGAGGCTGAAGGGTTGCCGCTAGGTCGGTTGCGCTCCTCCCGCAACTCAAGAGGCGTTTTAATACCTGTGCTGGTTTGAGTTGGGGTAGAGTTAATTTTCCTTGCAGGAGCTAGCAGGAGATTGTGTTTTGGTTGTGCTGAGGAGAACACTGATAACACACTGATGTTTTCGGTTGTTGCTAAGGAACGTTTGTACCAATTCAAGGACTTGTTCGGTTTCTCACACTGCCCTGTGTCCCCAGCTTCTCTACAAGAAGCTGGGAGCGGACACAGCCACGACAGCTGACCCAAGCTGGCCAAAGGGGTGCTTCGTTCCATAAAACGTCACGCTCAGTACATCAGCTGAGGATTGATATGGGGTCGCTCCCTCTCTTGGGCTTGGTATGATGCTCTGGTTCTTACGGCTCGGGGACTGGCCAGACATCAGTCAGTGGATGGTGAGCAGTTGTATCGTTTGTTTTCCATTATTTTCATTACCTATTATTAGTAATAATATTAGTACTGTTGGTACGATTAGTATTGTTATTTTATTCCATTATGAAATTGTTCTTAATTCAACCCACGAGATCCCTTGTCTTTTCCTCTGATTCTCTTCCCCATCGTACCAGGGAAGGTGAGTGAGCGGCTGTGCGGTACCTGGTTGCCGGCTGGGGCTAAACCTCAACAGTGCCACATAAATCCTTGGCCTTAAAAAGCCGACTGACATCACTCAATGAGTTTGGGCAATACGGTCTCAACTGACAGCCGCAATGGAACTGAGGCATAATTAACAGGATATAATTAAGAGGTGGTATACACACTTACGGCTGAAAGGAGAGACAGGACATACCACAGACAACAAGCAGCTCTTACATAGTTAGGCCTATCATTTATGCTTAACATGTAATTTTTGTTGTTTCTTTTTACTGTTATCCTTTCAGAGAGTTAATTTCACAGTTCCTAAGAAGTACAGAGCAGTTCAGCACAGAGAAAACAATACAGATCTTCTAACCTTCTGCTTTTGGCCATTACATGAGGCAACTGCCTTACTCTCGGGTTCGTAACAGTTCCATGAAGTCCTGACAGTCTACATGAACGACCAGTTTAATTGTTTATAGACTGTTACTTTAATTGCCTTCTCACTATTACCCCTAAGTATTCTGCTTGCTAGTGTAATACATCAGTGCCCCAGGAAAGTAAAAAAGCACATCCAAGTAGTTCTAGCTCTCCATGCACTACAACAGCTTAGGCCGATTCATTTGCTGATCGTCCCAAAAAAGAAAAAGCATCGAGCTATCATCTCACGTGCCAGATTTCAACCAAGTGCAATGATAAAAGTCTCATTCACTGGTGGCACAAAAGCGTTTGTTTACTGAATACACACGGTGTGTAACTAACATACATTCAAGTGACTGTTCTTTTGGTAGTACAAAGGCTCCTTAAATTTCAAAGCAAATAAACTTCATTTAGCATTTTTAAGAAACAAGTATCATCAATACTGACGTAATAAAGCTCGCATTTAAGGAAGGGAGCTTTAAAAAGATACGGTGCTGTGAAGTTTTACAGAAAAAAATAGATAAAACTTAACTAAACGTTGGGAATTAATACCTGGGGCAGTTCCTATCAGACGTCCCGATACATCTGACCCAGGCATTTTTCTTTTCAGTACTGGAACAATCTTCTCATCAAAATATTCCATAGCCATGGAGGAAATGTCCCTTAGTTCTTGAAGAACTTCATGAGCTCTCTGAGGAGCTCTTGTAGAGTTTACATATCTCAGCACACGATAGATTTCATCTATTACCTAAAACATTTAAGAAGAATTAGGATTTTCTGATAAAGGCAAGGTTATTTCAGATCATTCTAGAAGTGCTGGCACGTTCAGGGGCTTTTGTGACATAATTATTGCATACCACTGCCTGCTTCATTTCTAGGGCAGCTTTTTGAAATCAAGTGCTGTTCATGATATATCAGAGAAGCTGTTCGCTTGATCTATCACAACAACTCTTCAACCTCATGAAATAATGCTCATTGTGTGAAGTTTTGGGGCATTACAACCATGCTTGGCTTCTAAGTTCCGTAATCTATACTCAGCAGGGCAGATTCATTCCTCTGTGGAGAACCTAGAGCAGCACTGCAGAGCGGTCACCCCCTTGGCCAGTTATAAGACATAGGAAGCACACAGATGCAACAGCAAGAATTACTGTTAGATCAGTCTGAAGAGCTGTAAATATCTACGTGAGTCCACTTGCATACAGCCAAAATACTGCAAATTCAGATCAAGGCCAAGATATATTAATTTGTAAGACACCAATACTGACAGCGAACACAAGCACCCTCCCAACAGGTTTGACAAACTAGGCCTTTGCTCAGGGGAGAGGGAGATAAAAGGCATCTCGCTAATCCATGAATTATCATCTGAGGCAGGTCAAGGTAGGAGTGCCGGTCTCTCATTACCACAACTACCGACACGGGTATTTTGCACAGGATTAAGAATGGCTGAAGAGTTTCCCAAAGAACAAAGATCTTAAGGATTCGGAATACAACACAATTGTATCTTGTGTTTAAAAAGCTGCAAAAGCTAGGCACGACTCAAGTGTCTCATCCCACAACTAGCTTACGAATGACTCTCTGAAGTTTACCCACATTATATCCTGTTAGCAACATCATCCTCAAAGCTTCTCCTGCCATCCTCAATCTAACATCCTGTAGCGGCGCTCTGCGGTCACCACGATCCCTCACACAGGACACCAAGCCTCAAATCGGGATTCACATATTCTCACACAAATTCGCTGCCTGACAATTCTGTGTCAGCTTCCTTCAAACAAAATTTCCTGCAGGGTGCAGGGCCTTAAGTGAACACTAAGCCTTGAATCTGCTTGACCAAATAGGATTTTCGGGTGAACTGGCAGCTGTGCTGAGAGCGCCGTGGTGCCAGCAAGTTCCTATGCAAAGTAAATAATTCAAAAGAACTATTTTAGCTGTTATATCACAAGGCAAACAAGGCACCTTGGCGCCCACAAGGAAAACGGGCAAGTGAGCTTGCCAGCCAACTCCTGCACACCCCTGGTCTAGACCGAGTACTGCCTTGTCATCTGCTCTTCAAAAAAATAAGGCAGTATTTCCTTTAGTATTTCATTTACTGTGCGAGTATCAAGGACTTAAGTTTATTTGGCTTTTTATTACATTTTCAACATTACACTGAATATATAAAAATATAATATAAAGTCAAAACCCCATAAATCTATTAAACTACATTGATTTAATTTAAAATTAGACATCAAGTCAACTGGAGAGTACAGAAATCAAGTTACTTCTTCAAGATAAAAACACATTTCACCCCGACAGCCTATCCTACTGTACTAGAGGTAAAAATGCCTGCCATGCTTCACCTGAATCCAACAGCTAACTTTTCCATTCAGCCCAGTGCAATTCAGTTACCTGCCCATGAAAAATTAATACCACCATTTCCAAACCTTGGAAAGATCAGTGAATAGAGCATTAGGCCAACGTTCAGAGATCTTGTTTAAACCCTGAGCTGCACCAGTCTTCCTCAGATCATGACTCTGTCAACTCCCCTGTGCGCTTCTCTTTTCACAGCTTATAAAACAGTGGTTTCTCTGATGTACATCTCGCATAATTTGTATTTCACGTTGGGGTAGTATTCTGAAACACCAGCATTGTTCAGTAGTATTAATATTTAACACACTATCTGCATCTAAAACCAATTCCACCTACTGAAATGCTGAACAGTGGTTCTCCTGTACTAAATATCTGAATTCAACCGACCTGAAGTACTCAAACCCTTAAGAAAGGTGCCTAACCTCCTCCTGATGACTGAGTGCTCAGTGTTATTGGTAGTCTACATTACTACACCTCCTCATGACCTGGCCTCCGGCTGCTTTGTACAACTACAACTACAATTCAGAATTAAACCCTATATATCACATGTTTCTTGTAAAGCATGTATAGGATGTATGTGCCAAAAGTCGCACGTCAGAAGTAAGACAGAAAGCAAGGGAAAATAGAAATCAAGTTGAAGATAATTAATACTTCGCTACAGTCTGGTTCATTCATGTCAGACTGCCCGTTACAGCAGAGTACTGCTCTGTGTGTTTGCTGGCACGCATCTGAATCACAGTTTCACTACATACATATATTTGCATGTTAATTTGTCCCAGCTGTCCCAGGTTTAAGTTACACAATCATATTTTTAAACACAGCTATGCATTCACATAATATAGGGTACACTTTACCTTTCCAGGTATGAAGCAACAGAGATTGGAATCCACATACTTCATGAAAGTCATGTTTAACAGTGACAGTCTCGTTTCCACCGCAGCAAGGATGTCTGCATGCCGAGCTAATGAATGGTTTCTTCTTTCTGACTCCCGCCTAGAAGACAGACCATTAGGGGACATGGATTTAATAATGAGTCAACAAAATGAAACTGTAACAATTGGTCACCTTAATTTCACCTTTAAAAACCTCAGGGGTTTGAAAACGTAACCACTAAGACTAGTTCTGTCTTTACAGGAAAAAAACCGCCCTGCTGCAGATTGAGAACCCGCAATTAATACACTTCGTTAGACAGAATTTGTTGTCTAAACACCTTATGTCATCCATAAACTCTGTATGTAAATTAGGACTATTTTAAAAAAAGCTTTCAGTACCCGGTAGCAGTAGGCACCGAGTCAGTGTGAATATTTTTATCCCCCCATATCCCTACAGCTCAGTGCAATTGACATAAATTTAATGTATTATTAATGCTCGCTACAAGGTTTCGGTTGAGATATAAGCTCTTTTGACAAGGGATCACTACAGTTAGCAGCATTTTGTTTCCTCATTCTGACTGGGAAATCTGATAGGACACAGCAGCAGCTGCACTTACTGGAAAAGGGAGAAAAGACATCACTGTAGTGATGAACTAGCTCACAGTAATGCTCACATATCCACTCCCCCTCCCCTTCCCCTGCTTAATCCTTAGCACTGAAAAACCTTGCTGCCTTTTTTTTTTTT